TGTCATGGCTCACAGCAACCTCAAACTCCTGGGCTTAATGATTCTTTTGTCTCAGCCTCCCAAGTAGTTGGGACTATAGGCATCCGCTACAACACCCGGCTGTTTTTAGGGATGAGGGCTTGCTCCGGCTCAGGCTGGTCTCCAACCTGTGATCTCAGACAATCCACTTGTCTCAGCCTCTCAAGTGCTGGGGTTACAGGTGTGAGCCACTACGCCTGTTCCATTTTCATAATTTTAACTAAAAATACCATCCTTCCTTCAAAACAGAGACAACGTTTATTGCCAAGGACCTCTAATACCAAGCTCACATCTCTTCTAGAGTCCGCTCAGTGCAAAGGTGTCTTAATTTCAAATTCTTGGTCTCTTGGATGGCAAATGGAGGTTTTTGGTTTTAACTTGATAGTTTTCCAAAACCGTTGGGTACGCTGCAGGGAAAAGGCAGCCAGCTGGGGAATAACAGAGCATGCACATTTATGGGTGTATTGGTAAGGCCACGTTAACCACTCAGGCCGGTCTGCAACTGTTCCTCAGATGATTTGATTTGGAGCCCAAAGGTCTGTCTTTCTGTCTGCCTCCTTGCTCATTTTATTCATTCATTTAATAATGAATAAATATAGAATGAATAGAAAGCCAATAACTGCTTTCTATGGATCAGTCTCATGGTTGATTCTGGATATTCAGAGATAAATAAAACATTTTTTTGCCTTTAAGTAGCTCACACATCTGAGAGGTAGATGCATCAACAGATACCTGTGCTTAGTGAGGTAAGAGTGGCCAGAGCAGTGCCTCTGAAGTGTTCATGATGGGGGGAGAGTGTGGGCTTCTCACTAACAGGGCCTGATGAGCAGAGTCCTGACCAATGACTATTAACTCCCCCTTACCCAAGGGTTTTACTGTCTGAGGTTTCGGTCACCTGTAGTCACCTGTGGTCTGAAAATGTAGTACAATAAGATAGATTGAGGGAGAGAGAGACACCACATTCACATAGCTTTGATTACAGTAGATTGTTAATTATTCTATTTTATGATTGTCAGTCTCTTTCTGTGCCTAATTTATCAATTAAACTTTATCAGAGGTGTATATGTATAGTATATGCATAGCACATATTGGGTTTAGAACTACATGAGGTTTCAGGCATCCACCGGGCATCTTGGAACACATCCCCCTTGGATCGGGGGACTACTGTGTTTATTTCTGCCAGATGAAGAAGTAGGAGAAAAGATATCTCAGGCAGAGAAAAACACTTGACTAAAGACCCTGAAATATGGAAATGCGTTCTGTGATGTGACTAGGTTCAGTGCTGTGTTTTGTCTTTTCTCCATTCATGAGCTAATTGACAGTGGATAAATTACTTAGTTTCTTGGAGCCTCTGCTTCCCTTATTTACAAAGTGGGGTTAGTGGCTCGCTAAGTACAACTATATCATAGCACTGTTAATGTTAATGTTAAATAAGAGCACTGTTTCCCTCAAATTATTTAGAATATTTAGAATATCTTTAAAAGACCTATGAGAATAATGATCCACAGGTAAACTGCCTTTTTCATGCTTTTATTAGGTGATATAAATTGCAAGCAATTCCTCCAGGTAATTTTTAGATTAGTTAAGAAAATAGGAATAGCGTCCACTTTCTATTTGCCTATATAATATTCTTTTCAGCATAAGAGTAATTCGCTTGTAATTCCAACTTGAAAATAAAAGAGAAGCATTGAAGAAAGCATTGTTTTCCACTAGGGGTAGCTGTGTGCTCATTCACTAAGAGATTTTTTAGCTGAAATGTGAAGCCTACTTGAGTGGCTGTGTGAGAGAGCGCTAAATAACTCCAGTAAACGAGGAAAGCACCTTTCCTTTCAACCACAGAGTTCCTTAGGTCTAAGGAAAGGAGAGAGATTTTAGCAGAAAGAAGCAAATTGAAAAAAAGGAAAATTATCTTATTCTAAGTGGGAGTAAGAGGTGCCAGTCAGGTGAGAGAAACAAATATTTAGAGAGAAGAATGAGGTAGAGGAGAAGGGTATGTATGTATGTAGGAGAGAGAGAGAGACAGAAGCCCAGATATGGATATATAAATAATCTACTTGCATTAAAATGCAATTTTGTAGAAAAACCTTAATTTAAATCAATAGGCATTTTCTAATTTCTAATTGTATCTTTGCAGTAGGAACATAGGAAAATAGCCTCATTCCTTGTAAGAAACTTGCTCCTAGTCCCATAAACCATATTTCTATGTGCTGTATCAAGCAAGGTCTTGCTAATACTGTGATTGTAATAATAATAATTAAAAACTAATAACATTTGTTAGAGAAAGCCACTAACAACCCTCTCTAGGCCTGTTTTTCATCATTTGCAATATGGACTTGATAATAGTGTTCACTTTATAGAATTATTTGTGAGTGTTAAACATGACAGTGCTTAGTCTAATGTTTGGTACATAGTAAGTGTCCAGTAAGCAGGCCAATAAAAAAAGGAGACATTTATTGAATGCAGTTGTGCCACGTGTGCTGTGCTAAATGCCTTCTCTGTAATACCTCTTAGTCCTGTGAGCTCTATGCAGAGAGCACCACTATCGCGCATATTGTACAGATAAAAACACTATGATTAGAGAGGCTCAGGTCATACAGTCAGGACTTGGCAGGGCAGAGATTTGAACTCATGTGTCAACAACTTGGAAGAGTTTTTGCTGTAACTCTGAGTGAATTTGTAGTGTTTTGATTAACTATGTTGGCAATGGCAACCCACTGAATGCCATGGCGAAGTGGTTGGGAGGTAGGAAAGCTAAGGGGTTCCCATTTGTTTCCCAGGGTTTTCTTTAGTTTTTTCTGAAGGCATTTTTTGCAGTCTCTTCAGGCAGTGGTTCTGTATGTGTATCTATCCATTTGAATCTTTCTTTTATTTATAACACTGTTCTCTTTTGAAAATTTCGGTGAACTGGAAGTAGAAGGTGATTTTGCATTTCTTCTTCTTATTTTCTATTGCGCTGATTTCCTGATAGCCCTGAAATGTAGTTAGAGATTATCTGAATCTCATGCAGACCCTCTCTCATTCATCCCTAATTGTGCTTTGGCATTTGTGGTGTAAGACAGTTCTCCTCAGCCTTGTTTCCCTGTTATGAAACTCACTTTTAATAGGGAATTTTGTACCATAGGTCTCAACACTGCGAGGAGATACCAGATACAGAAAGACACTGATTACCAATGATGGAACAGCTCTTGGAGTTGGGTATCCCATTGGCATAGCTGTTGATCCGGCCCGTGGGTGAGTGTTCACAGGGTGTGCATCTTCTATCCAGCACCACACTTGCTAATATGGCCTGATAAATGGAAGGTTTTACACTGAGGACATTTCTTATTTTACATGTCAAACACTTTAAAAATATTGATTTCAGTAGAGAAAGAGAAATAGCTCTGAGTTACATTTAACTTGAAAGATATAATTTGTATTTTGTTTTATGGTCTTCAAAATAATAGCACTGGACTTAAAATTAATTCCAAACAAGTTAGAATTACAGGAAATTTAAAATAGAATTGTAAGAATGGGGCGGAGTATGGAGGCAAACCTAGCATTTTGGGAGGCTGAGTTGGGCGGACCACTTGAGACCACAAGTTTTGAGACTAGCCTGGGCAACCTAGTGAGACCTCCTCCAACTCTACAAAATATTAAGAAATTAACCAGGTATGCTGTGGCACATGCCTGTAGTCCTAGCTACTCATAAGGCTGAGGCATGAGGATCATCTTAGCCCAGGATTTTGATGTAGCAGTGAGCTATGATGACCCCGCTACATTCCAGCCTGGGTGACAGAGCAACTCTGTCTCAAAAAAATACAAAATGATAAGAATAGACTAAGGGAGCATGTATATTACAAATAGACCTTGAAGGATGAGAAGGCATCCAGTAGGTGGAGAATGGGTTGGAAGCAGAAGGTGGTGCAGGAGGCGAAGGGTGTGGTCGTGTGAAGCACGGCTGTGGAGAGGACCTGAGCCAGAGGCCTGAGCAGGGGGCAGTTGACCAGATGGGAGAGTTAGCAGCTAAGGTCATTTGGGGACAAAATACAGAAGACTTTTAAGGTCATGCCAGCAGCTGGACTTTAGAATAATTTGAGTAATAAAGAGCCAGCAGAAAATTTTGAGGAAGGGAATAATAGGACCAAATGTATATATGAGAAAAGTTGGTCAGCATTGGAGTGGAAAGAGGACAGAAGCAGAGGAGGAGTGAGGAGAAAATGGTCTCAGTGGATACAGGCTAGAGCCCTTTGATTTGTTTGATCAGTGATTCATTTTGTTGATCTACTATACTGTATTATAAACCAGAATAATAAAATGTAAAATAAAAAAGCATTTTTTTTTTTTAAAGAGATTGTCAGTCATTCCAAGTGGACTTTGACTTTTTGTTTGAAAGTCATTATATTGTTAGGCCTAGAAGAGAACTGGGGAATTAATTTGTATGAGCTCGCTGCTTTAAACAAGAATGTCATGCAGGCCAAATACAATTCTTAAAGGGTAAAAGAAGCAAAAGTGGCATTCTGTTCTTGCTGGCTTCTGCTTATATTCGAGAAGCTTGAATTCAGTCACATGACCACGGCTTATTGCAAAGAACATACAGTTGAGATTTTTGTACAGAAAAAAAGAGGAAGACATGGCATAGTAGGGTATTTGGATACAACAGTAATTAAAGATCCAATATGTAATCTCAAGAATTTGTATCTTAGTAAAGAGGATAAGATCTGTGTATAAATAACAATAGTCCAGGTTCATATATGTTTAGGAGTTATACTATAGGTCTAAAATAATTGGAATGATAGCGCTACAGAGAGACTTTTCAGCTTGATGGAGGTGATGTTGTTTGGACTGGATCAAAGTAGAGAGCTGGCTTTGAAGATATCAAATGTGATATATAGGGGATGGAAAGTCATAAGATAAAGGCAGAAAAATAAGTGTTATTTATTTATTTATTTATTTTTAAGGTGAGTGTTTTTTAAGTAACTAAGAGCCAGCTCAGTTGGATTGGGAAAGAATTAGAAGCGCTTAGCATTTTGTAAGAGGAGGTCAGAGCAGAAACAGGACAGAAGCTTGTGGATATAATGTCTTGGTTGCTCAGTAAAGAGAAAGTTGTGGCCAATGTTACTGAACCAGTTGCTATAGAAAAATATCTCTGTAGATGATCCCTAATAAGGAGTTGGGGCAGTTGCAGAAAGAGAATGTTCAATAGAGGTAGAAGAAGTTTAAAAGAGAAAGGAAGGTGAGGAAATGTGATCATTTTATTTTTTTTCTTAACAGTTTTTGGCCAGGGCTGGGTTTGAACCCACCACCTCTGGCATATGGGGCCCTACTCTTTTGAGCCCCAGACACCGCCTGGTGACCATTCTTTTAAGAATTTTATATTGAAAAGTTATGGAAAGATAAACTTGTAGGTCAAAATGTAACAGGAAAGTACTTTTTAGAGTAGAGAAATCTGATGATGTTTTTCGGAGTATGGGAAAAATCAGTGACGAAGAAATGATTGAGAGCAAAAGTTACTGAGAAGGAATATTAGAAATTTATGAAGACTAGAAATAAAATGAGCTGTTTGGGAGCAATATATCATGTCAGCTAGGGATGAGAATTCTCAGCCAAAGTTAGGGACTTTACCTTAGAGTTTTGTGCTAGTCCAGCAAATTTTTGGGAGCCTGGAATGGGAGGGGTGAAAGAAAAAAAAATGGCAGGAACTCAAGGTTGGAGATTAACAAGTTAGGCACAATGGGAGCCCAATGTAATAAATAAACCATATGATTGAAATGGTTACATATGATACGATGTCCAGGTATAGAGGGATTGGAGTTTTGGGAGCTCTGGAAGGATTTAAGGGCAAGGAACCAGTTTAATAGGAAAAATAAAACTGGTGCAGGAAAGATACAGGAGAGTTTGGTCAAAACAGAGAATTTCAAAGTTTGAGAACTTCGAAGCAAAGAAGTTTAGAGTTTAAGGTAAAGTTCATGGTATGGATATATTGATTTGAGGCAATCAATCAATAGAAGAGGTATGAGAATAAAGACTATGTGAATTAAAATGTTTGAGGACTTTTGATAAAAGGAAGTAGGAGGGCTGTCTATTGAAGGATAGCAGGAGGTGAGATCAAAAGTAATTAAAGTGGTAAAGTCTTCATCTTTCTTTAAGGCTGCATAATATTCCACATACCTCTTACATGTTTACATGGATGGAGCTGGAACATATTCTTCTTGGCAAAGTATCTCAAGAATGGAAGAAAAAGTATCCAATGTACTCAAGTCTTACTGTGAAACCAATTTATAGCTTTCTTATGAAAACCATAACCCAATTATAACCCAAGAAGAAGGGGAAAGGGGAGAGGGAGGGGAGGGGGAGGTAAGGGTGGAGGGAGAGTAGTTGGTGGGACCACACCTACGGTAGTATATAAATGTCTTAACACAATAACTAAGAAAATGCTGTGAAGGCTATGTTGACCAGTTTGATGAAAGTATTTCAGATTGTATATAAAAGCAGCACACTGTACCCCAAGATTGCATTAATGTACACACTTATGATTTAATTTAAAAAAGGTAATTAAAGCTTTATTTAAGTCTAAAAGTTGTATCTTCAGTGGAAATGGAAAGTAGCCTTTTAATGAATTTTCATATGTCATGGGCTGGATAATGCTGTGTGGTGATTCTGCTTCATATGTACTTGTGTATTGAGTATAACTAATTGGTATCACTTTGAAACAGACAGAAACAAATAGCTTTCAAAAATTCTGCATTTTTTATTTTATTTTATTTTATTTTTCGAATTTACTTATTTTTTCTTTTTGGACACAGAGTCTCAGTATGTCGCCCTTGGTAGAATGCTGTGGTGTCACAGCTCACAGCAACCTCAAACTCTTGGGCTTAAGTGATTCTCTTGTCTCAGCCTTCCAAGTAGCTGGGACTACAGGCGCCCACCACAATGCCTGGCTATTTTTTTTTGCTGCAGTTGTTTAGCTGGCCTGGGCAGGGTTTGAACCTGCCATCCTCGGTATATGTGGCTGGCACTGTAACCACTGTGCTACTGGCGCTGAGCCAAAATTCTACATTTTTTTATCACAAAAATTAGGTTAGGTCATTAAGCAACTGGTCCTGTGGTTGATGGTGACTTGGAGAAGAATTCAATAAGAGATCTGAGGTACTTGGCTTTGGCCTTCCCAATGTGGTCAGAGTATATGTTTCTCTGAAGATTTTAATATATGCTCTTTGTCATATGCTACCATCACATGTCTGACTAAACTAGAGGTTCAGCCACCAATGGAAACCTAGCTTCTTGTTTTGGACTCTATTTAAAATGGTGTCTCCCTAGTAATAACTCAGAAATAGACTGACATTGTCAGACCACTGGTTAAATACTCCTCCACATTGCATGAGCCTCTGTCTTGATGCTTCAGACTTTTGTCTATTGGATTGTAAGTGTCTGGAGGACAAGAAATACACATTTTCATTTAAATGTCTGAATTATCAATGCCATTCTTTCTAATCCTCTTTCTGTTTTGTTAAATGTTGTTTCTCATGGTTGTAGGAAACTATACTGGTCAGACCAAGGTACTGACAGTGGGGTTCCTGCCAAGATCGCAAGTGCTAGCATGGATGGCACATCTTTGAAGAATCTCTTCCTTGGGAACCTTGACCACCTGGAGTCTCTCACCCTTGACATCAAGGAGCAGAAGCTCTACTGGGCAGTGACTGGGACAGGAGTGGTATGAGCACTTTGGGCATTTGGTCTTTGCTGCTGAGCTTGTGTAGTTGATAGTGAACGTGCTGAGTTTTCTGCCAGTGGTTCTTGAACCATCTCAGGTGGCTACTGGTACCAGTGTTTTCTTGTCCTTTCTCCAACAACTTTTCTCCCTTGAGCAAATCTTGCCCTAGTTGAAGTCCAGTTCTTCATAGTAAGTGCATAATTGCTTGTAGAATAATGTTTACTATTTTTGCTTCCAATCTTGTTTTTCACTAAGATAAGTTAATTCTCTTTGTCATTTCTTGTCGTTTCAGAGCCATTTCTTTCATGCTTTAGTGATTTCAGTGCTTTTCTTTGAAAATATTTCAGGTTCTCCATTATAGACACTAAGGGAATATATTTGTTCCCTCTCTCCTATATATGTACACATACACATCTTTATCAATTGATCCACCTATCTATCTGTTTATCTATAAGCTTGTGAACTCAGCATTCCCTCATGGCTATACATTCTTCTCTAATATCCTAGCGTGGATAATGCACACATGAAACTTTCTTTACTGGTGATTTTAAACTACCAGCTTGAGTTCAATACATTCTGCAATAAAAACTAGGAACTATTATAAAGTTTCCTTCATTCATTGAAATCATTTTTGACTTTCACTGCTGTGCTTATGCAGCTGAATTGGAGGTAGATCCATTGAAGGCGTTTGATACTAATTATTAATCAGTTAACTGTCGCTTCGAATGTTGAATTGAATATGTGCTAGTCTCCTCTTCCTTGCTTTTTTAAAGTAGTGATTTCAGATCTTTGACATTGATGCTTTCCATGATATTGTACAGTAGCTTTGGTTTTCTCTTCATTATTTTTTCAACCGGTACTGACATCCCTCCTAATATGGACCTATTTCCCTAATGCTTAGCACCATTGGGGATAACAAGGTAGTAGAATGTGTGTGAGAGCCCCGTGTAGATTCGGATGTGTGTGTGCAGGGATGAGGAAGTGCTCGTCAAATGGTCTGGTTCCCGCATGCAAATGAGGAGGGCTAGCAGAATTCACCAGCTTCCTGCTTTCCTGTGTCCACCTCTGCTTTGCCCTCCTAAATCTATGAGCTTGTTCATGCTGTGAGCCTTCCTCCTTTCTCCTGGGTGTACTCTCATATTTGTCCTTCGCTCTCCTTCTTTGATCATCACAAAGTTCTGCAGCCCATCCTGAGCCTCTTCATTCATGTCCAGCCGTTTTCTTCCCCCTCCAACAGTCTGAGCGACTTCTCTCCAGCCTTGACTAGGCCACAGCCCTCATCCCTGAATCTTGTTTTCAAGCTGGAGACGTGTTGTCTTCGTAACACCTCAGTTTGATCACGGCTCAGCTTGGAACCTTGGCCTGAGGAGTGTAGTTCACAAGACTGAGCTCATCTGGTCCCGGCCACTCCTCCTTCGGCAGCTCCCCTGCAAGCTCATGCTCCCTGTGCCCTTCTGGAACCTCTGTCAGTTTCCAGACTGCTGGGTTACCTTGTCAAGTGAGGTGTGATGCCAGGCCGTGGCTGTCTCTCCTGCCAGTCCCCACCTCAGATGCTGGCACAGAAAAGGCCCTTGAGATAGGTCCTTGGAGTGAAATTAAACCAGCTTTCCTTCCAGAAGCAGATTGCTTGTCGTTTCCCTGAGGAACTTTATTCTTGTGAGTTCCTTGCCAGTTCAGCAGAGTCATTTTGACTTAAGTTTGTTACCCTTTCTGATATAATACAACAGCACCGTCTTTAGCCCTTGCTGTCTTCTGTGACTGACTAGGGCGTGTTTCCTAACCCCTCACACAAGTTGTTGGTGAGTATGTTAAACCCAGGGTCAGGCAGCTGTTGTATGTCGGCCCACACTCAGACATTGAAGTACATCCTTGCCCTGAGTATCATATGCAGGGACTGGTGGTTTAGTTCCCTTTTTCTTCACCATGCCATGTGAGAAAATTCACTGACTGACTTAACTCTGTCTTCATTACCAGTGAAAGGGGCATAGTGATATTTGCCTGACCTATGACCCTGCGTAGTTGTGACTATCAATTCAGACAATAGATATGAGAAAGCTCTGCAAAGGAGAAAGCGATATAGAAATATGGGGTATTATACTTAGGAGAATATTGGTTTTAAAATGTGCATCTTTTTTCATGATGAATCAGTAAAACTTATGACAATTCTGATCCTTTAGATTGAAAGAGGAAATGTGGATGGAACAGAGCGGATGATCCTGGTGTACCAACTTTCCCACCCTTGGGGAGTCGCAGTCTTTGATTCCTTCCTTTATTATTGTGATGAACACTATGAGGCCATTGAAAGAGTTGACAAGCATACTGGGGCCAACAAAGTGGTCCTGAGAGACAATATCCCAAATCTGAGGGGCCTTCGAGTTTATCACAGACGCAGTGAGTATTTATCAATAAAACACATTCATGGAGATAGAACGCATATTCACACGTCTACACGCTTCTATAAGCAGATGCCACCCCCACACATGAAAATTGCTCAAAATATTTTTTAAAATGATAATCATGTCTTAAGCTTGGTTAAGTGCCAAAGGCAAATCTGACATCTGAAAGGCAGTTTGGCTTCAGAATAAGTTTAGTCTCTTCCTTTCCCCATTACTTTTAATTCCTTATTTTGCTGTTGCTTTGTAGCACTGCCTGACATATTATCTACTTGTGTGTTTATTGTCTGTGTTCTTTATGAGAATATTATCTCCACACTGCCAGCCTTTTGTCTTTGTAATTCACTGCTCCCCACCTAATAGCAAGAATAGTGTCTGGAACATGGAAAGTGTTCAGGAAGTATTTATTGGATGCCTGCTGCTTAAAAAGTGCTAACAGGATAGAATTTTTAATCTTAAAAGGAATATTTTTAGATATTGCCTATTTGAATTTTTTTTCAAATATAATCTAACTTTTAATTTACCCCTTTAAATTAGCATTATGATATAAGGCTTTTTGTTTAAGAGTTGAGATATTTTACATTTTTTAGTCTCTAACCAAAGATTATCAAACGATTTATTTCCTGTTCTGTAATTTGGGTTTCTTGCATGGTATTTATTTTTATTGCATACGGGAAAAAAAACCACATGTAATACAAATTAATATCTTTATTATTTTAAAAAATAATGTTTAAATATTGCTATTTCGTATACTTTAAAACCGATGTTCTAAAATTATTGACCATGTAGTTAAAGTGATATAATTTTAAGTGCATCATTCAAGAGGGCAAAAACTAACAGATTTGTATCGAAGCCCCATTCTCTAACTATTATAAAATAATTAGGGCACTGTTTTAATATTGGTGGATGGTATTGTATAAGCTCTAGTCTCTTCAATACAGCTTTTAGTTTGTTAACTCAGATACTGCATTACAAGTTTTGTAATGATTTATTGGGCAACTAAATTTAAAAAATTTGAGATGGAGGGGCAAGTAGGTAGGGTCAAAAGTTCCAAACTGATTTTTGATTTCATTTAGATGCTGCCGAATCCTCAAATGGCTGTAGCCAGAACAGGAATGCCTGTCAGCAGATTTGCCTCCCTGTACCAGGAGGAGCCTTCTCCTGCGCCTGTGCCACTGGATTTCAACTCAATCCTGATTATCGGACCTGCTCTCCACATAACTCTTTCATTGTTGTTTCAATGCTGACTGCAATCAGAGGCTTTAGCTTGTCATTATTAGATCATTCAGAAGCCATGGTGCCAGTGGCAGGCCAAGGTATGCCAACTCCAATAAAAGTGCCATTTAACTCCATCATGTGCCCAGTTGAAATCCTTAGTGCCATAAAAGCAGTTCCTCATGTTTGGATTCCAGCAACTAATGAAGCTTGCCTTTCCCTTTAAATCAACTTTCTCAGCCTAAAGTGGTTCTCAAACTTCAATGTGCATCTGAACCACTGGGAGGGCTTGTTATAACACAGCTTAAGGCCTCTCCCCAGACTTTTCTGATTTAGTAGTCTAGAATAGTACTAGAGAATCTCCCATTCTAACATGTTACCAAGGTGATGTTGCTGGTCCACAGGCCTAGAGCAATATGGAATGTATCAAGAAATTTCTTGAGTCTGCAAGAAGTGTTACGGAGTTGATGTTCAGAAGAATCATGTTCTTATTGTTCAGTGGAAATTTAGGGTAGAAGTTGTGCTAGTATTTGATGTAGTAATGAAATAGTTCACAGATATGATTTATAAATATATATTTGGTGAGTTGAAATAAGAGTTCACATGAATAGAGTTAATTAAATCAACTTAAAGAGTTCACATTAAAAGAGTTTTTTTAAATATTGTTGGGGATTCATTGAGGGTACAAGAAACCAGATTACACGGATTGCATTTGTTAGGTAAAGTCCCTCTTACCATCATGTCTTACTCCCACAAGGCACACACCAAGACCCCATCCCTCTCCTTCCTTCCCTCTCTCTGCTTTTCCTTTCCCCGCCGCTCCCTCCTACTTATTTTTTTTTGTTGTTGTTATATGAATTTTATCATGACAGCCCTACTCAGGACTACTTATATTTTCTACCTCCTTCTTAATATTCATATTTTTGCAGTACTTTGTTTGCAACTGTTGAGTATATAAAATAACTTGCTTCCTAGATGAACTGAACTGAGGTTTTTAGGTATATGATACCATAATACGAACTATGAGTTTTCTAGCACCACAAAAAGGATGTCACAGGCTAAAGATAGAAATAGGAAAAAAAAAAATAAATGAAGATACCAATAGATAGTAGAAAGGAAAGAAAAAAAGATGAAGGGTGGAAGACATGGTCAGAAGAGCCAGACATGCATCTGGAGAGAGGGGTCAGCTTCTAGCACCTTCATGCTGCTGGCTGGTCACGTTTACACGTACTCATGCGGCATCTTTGTTTTTCCATATCTAAACAGTTATGGATTTAAGTTATCATCTTGTTATGATATTACAAGTTTGATTTTTTCCCTCCCAACTTTTCATTTAAAAAATTTTCAAACGTGGAAACGTCGAAAGGTACAACAAACATTTTTATGCCCTTCCCCAAGATTTAACAATTGTTAGTGTTTCGCTGCATTTGAGGTCCCAGTCTGTGTGTGAGTTGGTGCACATCCATATACAGGGTGGACATAAACTTGGTGTGCAATAAAATAATTTACGAATGGTAAGTTACGCATGAATTTTATGTCCACCCAGTATATACACCACACTCACTTTTTTTTTTTTTTGAGACAGAGACTCACTTTGTTGTTCTCAATAGAGTGCTGTGGTGACATAGCTCACAGCTACCTCCAACTCCTGTACTCAAGCAATTCTCTTGCCACTTGCCTTTCAAGTAGCTGGTACTACAGGCATCCACCACAATGCCTGGCTATTTGTAGAGGTGAGGTCTCACTCTTGCTCAGGCTGGTCTCAAACTCATGAGCTCAGGCAATCCACCTGCCTAAGCCTCCCAGAGTGCTAGGATTATTGACGTGAGCCACTACATGCGGCCCACCGCGTTTTTATAAATGTGATATCATTATATCAGATATCATGACAGTTTTCTCCTGCGTACTTTGGCACACAGCTCAAAAGGGTATTATCAACTAATGTTTGTATTTATATTTCTCCAATTAGCTTTGGAATGTTTTATCTAGTTGTTATTTTGTGCCAGCCATGATCTTATCAGGATTTATGCATTGCATTGGGAATATTTCTTTCTAATCTGGAGAGGTCGTCCTTGTTTTTTACAATGATATTGATATTTTAAGAGGCAGAACTATTGTATTTTAGACTCCCACTCTGAGAATTTGAGTTTCTCCTCGTGGGTGTCATTTAACCTTTTGATTTATCCCCTGCATTTCTCATGCAAGAGAAGTTATGTCTAATTATTTGTTAGGTCAAAGTTAAACATATTTGGCAAGAATACTTGATAGGTAATGCTATGTACTTGATACAGAATCTTACCAGGAAGAACATGTCAGCTTGTCCTCTCTTAGTAATGAATGAGTTTGATCAGTTGGCTAAGGTGGTCACTGCTAAATCCTTGGTTTTTAAAGGTATAATTTTTCCCTATTTTTAATTGTATGAAATCTGTGGAGGTAAGCTTTGGCTCTGCACATGGACACTTCCCAAATACTTTTACCCATTGGTTTTTGCAGCCATGATGATCCTTGTCTGCAATGATTATTTAATTGGGGATGCAAAGTGGTGATTT